ATCCCCCGGATTCCCCCGGCATCCGCCCAGACCCCCTGGGGAGTCAAGATGCTCTCTCTTTTGAGCCCACTGGAAACCTATCAGCCTTCGCTGTTAGGGAAAAAAGCCAGAGTAGGGCGGATCTGGAGTCGGGGCGTCTCTTGAGCCCCGACTGAGGCATCGCCCCAGAGATCCGACGTCGTGATTTTTTCAATACGCGGTCCCCGGAAGCCTCGACCCAATCCCCAGGACCGGTTTTTCATCCTGAGTCGTTTTTTGACGGTCCCGAGGCCCGGCGAGGGCCCCGCGAGGCCGAAATTTGCGAAAAACCTGCGCCCTGATTTCTTCAAGACGTTGGATCTCTGGGGCATGGGCCTGCCGGGGGCTTCGGCCGCTGCCCCGCTGGCGGGCGCCAGCGGAGGAAAGGAGGAGGAGGAGGAAAGGAGGAGGAGGAGGAGGAGGCGGAGGAGGAGGAGGAGGAGGAGGAGGAGGGGGAGAGGAGGGGGAGGAGGAGGAGGAGGAGGAGAAGGAGGAGGCCTGCCGGGGGCTTCGGCCGCTGCCCCGCTGGCGGGCGCCTCGTGGGCGCCTCGTGGGCGCCCCCCCCGGCGCTGGGGCGGGCCTGCCGAGGTGTCGCCCGGGTGCCCGCCTCGCGGGCGCCTCCGCGGGCGCCTTCGCGGACGGCCGCGGAGCCCACGCCACGGGGCTCGGACCACACAGGGGACTGCCTGGCAGACCACCCCATCCAACCCAAAGATCCCAATTTCCCTCCTCCTCCTCCTTATCCTCCTCCTCCTCCTCCTCCTCCTCCTCCTCCTCCTCCTCCTCCTCCTCCTCCTCCTCCTCCTTGGGGGGGGTACGGGTTCCACATGTGTTTTTTCAGTGTTCCCCGACCCCCCCCCCCAACTGCAAATGGATGGCAAACTGAGGCCTTCGGGTTGGGTTGGGGTGGTTTGGTGGGTGGTGAACAGGCTGCACCTCACAGCTCGTAGGAAGTCGGGCGTGTCCCCCTACAAGGGGATCGTCGACGAACAATACTCCCAAAAATGCCCCCAAAAAGATGCCCAAAAATACTCCAAAGAACAGTCCCCAGACCGTTGTTTGACCATTTTTAGAGATCCCCCATGTAGAGGGACACGCCCGACTGAAAGCTTGCACCACACGGGCTGCACCACGTGGCTGGCACCACAGGGCATGCAGCACGCATCACACGGTATCCGCCACAGAAGCTTACACCACACGACCTGCATCACGTCGGCCGCACCACACAGCTTGCACCACACAGCTGGTACCACACAGTCTCCGCGACATTCTTGACACGGTGTCACCACACGGCTTGCACCGCACGGCTCACACCGCATGGCTTGGCACGACAGAGAGCACCACAACATACTCCAGATTTCATAATAAAGTGAGGGGGGTCTCATTTCGGGGGGGGTCTCTTCCAGGCTATCTTGGAGGGCCTGGGGGGGTCTGGAGACGATGTTTTGGAGGGTTCTCCCACGGGGGGGTCTAAAACTTCTTGTCTGGGAGGGTTGAGACACCCTCCCTTTTATTACGAAATCTGGAGTACCAAACCAGATCTGTACGGGGCGTGGGGAAGGCGAACAGCACGCTTCGGCCAGAAGCTCCCGCTGACGCGCACTAAGAGTACCCTGCGGTGGCCGTGCCACAGCCGGCGGCCACGGATGATCTCACAGCGAGCCCTCTGGACGGGGGTGGCTTGGAGCGCTTCCTCCTCACACACACACACACACACACACCCTCCCTCCCCTTCGGGGAGGGGTGCACCCCTGCTCCTTCTTGAGAAGCGCCCCCCTCCCCCACTCGACCTGCCGCCAACCGAAAAAAAAGCACACACAAAAAACATACAAAACACACCAAACACACACACACACACACAAAAAAAAAAATAAAAAAACATACACACACACACACAAAACATACACACACAACACAAAAAAAACACAAAACACACAACACACACAAAAACACACAAAACACACACACACACACTGTGTGTTTTTTGCACCCTGAGCGCACCCCCCGCCGCCATCCTCACCAGAGCAACACAGAAAGTGCACGCGGCGGCAGAATCCGGGCCACGGGCGGGCGCCCCGCGGCCAGCCTTCTACCTGCACAGTGTGCAGCCTTGGTCGGAGGCACGTGCCACCTCCCTGCGGGCGCACACACCACCTCGCCATCGCTCGACCGTCCGTTCCCTGTGCTTTTTTCGGTCTCGTGCGTGGATTTTCGCCAAAGGATCAAGGATGCTCCTCGATGGTCCTCGCCGAGGAGAAAATGCACACGTCCGAGCGATGCCAGGCCACACGCCGTGCGGCTCACCCCGCCGAAAAGTTTGCACCTTCTTTTACAAAGGGGATGGATGGGGCGACTGGCTGCCCGATGCACGTCGGCGCGTGCACTGTCGCGCCCGCCGCCGCCTGGCGCACCCTGCGCGCGTCGCGCACGCGGCGCACCCGGCGTGGGTGGAGCACGTGCTACAGCTGGCGCACGGGGTGCGCCTGGCGCACAAGGCGCGCCTGGCACGTTTGGGCCCTGGCTCACCTGGCGCTCCTGGTGCGCGTGGCGCACCTGGCACGCGTGAGGCGCCTCGAGAACGTCGCGCACCCGGCGTCTGCATTGGTTCGCGATGGATGTCCGTCCAATGGAGATCTATGCACATGTTGAATCCCAGATGCTACTTGCAAGGTGGGAAAGGTGGGAAAAGGGGGTGGAAGTAAGGAAGACCAGCTTGTGGCGCACCCGTTGGGAACTCGACCCCTCCCCCATATCCCCTCCACTGGGTCTGGAAGAAGGGGCTGGGTCTAGTTAGAGCGTCCAAGATGGCCCTCGATGATCCAATGTGCCTCAAAGATGATCTGAGATAGCTTAAGATGGCCCTCAAACATTGCACAAGATAGTCAAAGATGTCTCAAAACGCGACCAGCATGCCCCCGAGGCCCCCAGACCGCTTCAAGACGGCTCCAAGTGGCCACGGAGCATTCCAGAGATGCCTCCGAGAGGCCAAGGTCCGTCCGCAATCGATGGATTAACAAAATGATGACTGCGTTCACGTCGTTCCGCCGTCAGTGGGCTCCTGAAGCATTAGGATGACTCCAGGATGGCCTAAGCGAGACACAGGAGGGACCCACCAGGGCTCCGAGACGGGCCGAAGAGCGCCCAAAGCGTCCCAAGATTGGATCTCTCGGGCTCGAGAGTAGCGAGGCGAATGAAGGACCCCCCATTCGCTCGAAGTCGAAAGCACTGAAAAACAATATGTGCTTGAAACATGTTGGCATCTCGGGGGCATCTGGGGAAACAGTTGGGCAAATATGGGTCCAAGATAGCTCTATATGATGGCATCCAGGGTATGGCGCATGACAGCATGCCTCCAGCAGGCCCCAAGACCGCTCCAAGACAGCTCCAAGTGGCCACAGGGCCTCCCAGGAGGCCCCCGAGAACCCAATCCCAGTGGGCGTTGTCGCCATGTCGCTTCCAAGTGTCTCTTGAGGCCTGAGGAGGGCCCCAAGATGAGCCAAGAGGGCCTCAAGAGGACCCTTAGGGGGGCTCCAGGACGGCCCCAAGAGCGCACAAGAAGGCCTCCTAGATCCCAATCCCAATGGGCGTTGTGGACATTTCGCTTCCAAGTGTCTCTTGAGGCCTGAGGGTCAGCCCTAATCCGCACTGTCACCGTTTTGATTGATGGCCTGCAAGATAGCGCCTTGAGCCTGGTGAGACAAGCGTGCCCTCTCCTATGCGCCCCCCTGGCGGCGGCGGTAGCGAGAGGATGGCAGCAACGGCAGCAAAATCAAGATACTCTCGGACTCCTGGGACCCCGTTGGCTTCTTGTGGAGGTTCGAGGAGTGTCGAGGATCCACTACCGCAGAAGAGGTGCATGCTGTCACATTGTATCCCAGAGGCTCACACGATCACTGCTATCTCACACCACAAGAACCCAATCATGAAAAAGCATGAGGCACATGACAGAGAATCGAGACGTTCCGCGCGACTAATGCTGCGCCAGAGATTAGCTCAGAAGGGGCAGCGGAAAGGATGAGAGGACAGGACGGGGAACACAAGGCACGAGAGCAAACAGCTGGGACTAGCCGGTGTGATGGGTAACGCACCAAACTAGATGTAACACACACGCGAACAAACGGCAAGTGACAAGGACCACGACGTGGTAAGCCCGAGCACCACACTCCAAGACGGGTGCGCGAGCGGTAAGGCAGCACAGGGTGAGCGTGCACGCACCATGCGGTCCAAAATGATCGCCCCACCGTCATCCTCTCCACCTCCACTCCTGCTCCCGCAATGCCCAAATCCCCCCGCTGTCCCAGAGCCGCGCGGTGACGGACCAGCGGTGACCTCGAAATCCCGAAGGACCTCATCACACTGCCTGTCACCGCACGGGCTTGGACTCTGGAGGCCCCCGTCGCCCGAGACGTCCTCAGACAGCGTCCCGAGCCCCAGCACCTTGCGGTACCTCCGAATCCCCGCTGACTCACCGCACGGTGTGGTCACCGCACCGTCTGGGGGCCCCTGATGCTCGCTGGGCCCCCCCACGCCTGCCCCGCCCCGCCCGGGACCCGAATCCGCCCAGAGCGGGGCCCCCAACAGCCCTCCCATGGGCCCGCCCTGGGCACACCTCCAAGAAGCCGCGTCCGGCCATCGCGGCGAGAACCTCCCGAGTGTCGTTTCACCGATCCCCATCCCCAGTGGCGTGGCCTGGGCCCATCTCGCCGATTCACCCCCCTCGACGGGGATGTACGTAGGTCGTTCCCTCCAGGTTTCGAGGGGCGCATCCCCAACTGGAGGGGTAATGTGGTGGGGGTCCCGAAGGGGATGGGGATGGCGATGGGGGCCGGATAAACGATACCGACCTCCACAGGCGCTCGGGGCGAACCTCGAAAACGGCGCCGTGGCCGCCGGCGTCGACCTGCGCCCTCTGCTCGCGCCCCGCCCCCTCCGCGCACCACTGCGCTCACCACGGCGGGCCGGCCGTGCGGGCGGCGCGGCGCCCGCTGTCGGCGCTCCGCTGCCGCCTCTGCAGCAGCGTCCGCAGTGCCACCACGGCCTCGCCGCGTCGAGGCACGCGCGGCAGTCCGAGGAAATGCGGGGCCAGGGTGGCGGCACCACCTCCTCCTCCTCCTCCCCCTCCTCCTCCTCCTGCTCCTCCTCCTCCTCCTCCTCCTCCTCCTCCTCCTCCTCCTCCTCCTCCTCCTCCTCCTCCTCCTCCTCCTCCTCCTCCTCCTCCTCCTCCTCCTCCTCCTCCTCCTCCTATATCCTCCTCCTCCCCTCCTCCTCCTCCTCCTCCTCCTCCTCCTCCTCCTCCTCCATCTCTCCTCCTCCTCCTCCTCCTCCTCCTCCTCCTCCTCCTCCTCCTCTTCCCTCCTCCTCCTCCTCCTCCCCTCCTCCTCCCTCTCCTCCTCCTCCTCCTCCGCCTCCTCCTCCTCCTCCTCCTCCTCCCTGCTCGGGCCATTCGAGTCCGGGAGCGTGCACGACCACGGTGTTGAGCGTTGGTGATCAATCTGCTGACGATCCTGTTTCCCGTATGCGTAAGGAGCAGCTTCGGGCTATTGCTGGTGCGTGGCATTGTCGGTCTCCTGATCAGCGTTTGGGTGTGCAGAGGACCTGGGCTAGGCAGCGTGATAGGCTTCTCTTGTTGGAGGCGCCCCATCGATGGCGCACTGTCCGTGGCCCCATTGCTGCCACGGTCTGCACTCTGCTCGATCTCGAATGGGACCCCGACTCGATGACCGCATGGTCTACGCCGGTGGGAGTGTTAAGCATTGAGGCTTGTGATTTGCCCTTCCACCTCACGATTGCTGTGCAGAGTACGTTGGAACGTATGTTGTGGGGTAAAGCGTTGGACCATTTTTGTGGGGGTGGTCTTGAAGGGAGTGCTGACCTTACCGTCTCCAGGAGATGGTAGTTTTCTGATGCTGCCCTACTCTGCTGCATTGTTTCTGGCGCCACGTGACCTGAGGCTCGGCTTCGTGATGCGGGGTACATTACTGATGGCATGATCCCTCGGTGTGGCGCCGCCCGTGAGACGATGCTACACCGTATCAGGGGCTGCTATTCCAAATTGGCTCGGTCCACTTGCTCAGGTCCCGGGAGCTCGTCCAAACAGCCTTACGTGATGAGCACGAACGTTCAGCCTCTTGGAATAGAGGTATTCCCTCTTGCTGCTGCTGTCGCTCCCCTACCTCCACCGATTGATGTGAAACAGGCTTGGGGCTTGTTCTCGCATGGACGCGCGGTACGAGGCGGCAGATTTGGACTTGACGGGTCAGGCGGGAAGTGGGCTACGGATCTTCGTCGTCGTTGTGACTGGGCGGTCGTCCGGCTGGTTGAGGCCAGCGTGGACGACTTTGAGCTTCGATGTGGTGCTCTTCTGGCGGGGACTCCCGCTCGGGCTCAGTCGAGCCCGCGCTCGGATTTATTTGCGCTGACTCTGCCGCTTGCTTTCACGACGGGCGACGACGTAGTTGCATATTGCCTATTATACCTATACGACCACCCATCGGGTGATAAGGAGGTGAGGGGGGGGAAGGGACCAACGTCGCACTCGATCGATCTTACTATCGAACTCACTACCGATCTCACAATCGATCTCAATCGATCGATCTCACAATCGATCTGACTATCGATCTCACAATCGATCTCACAATCGATCTCACATTCGGTCTCGCTATTGATCTCACAATCGATCTCACAATCGATCTCACAATCGATCTCACATTCGATCTGACTATCGATCTAACTATCGAACTCACTTTGGATCTCATTATCGATCGTACATTCGGTATCACTGCCGATCTCACTATCGATATCACAACCGATTTCACAATCGATCTCACATTCGGTCTCACCATCGATCTCACTATCGAACTCACAATCGATCTCATTATCAATCTCAATCGATCGATCTCAAAATCGATCTGACGATCGATCTCACAATCGATCTCACAATAGATCCCACTATCGATCTCACATTCGGTCTCACTGTCGATCTCACTATCGATATCACAATCGATCTCACAATCGATCTCCCATTCGGTCTCACAATCGATCTCACTACCAATACCACTATCGATCTCACAATCGATCTCACAATCGATCTGACATTCGTTCTCACGCTCGATCTCACAATCGAAATCACTATCGATCTCACGATCGATCTCACATTCGACCTCACTATCGATCTCACTATCAATCATCAAAATAAACCGCCAACATCATCATTACCATCATCATCAACAACATCAACATCAACATCATCATCATCATCATCATCATCATCATCATCCTCATCCTCATCCTCATCCTCATCCTCATCCTCATCCTCATCCTCATCCTCATCCTCATCCTCATCCTCATCCTCATCCTCATCCTCATCCTCATCCTCATCCTCATCCTCATCCTCATCCTCATCCTCATCCTCATCCTCATCCTCATCCTCATCCTCATCCTCATCCTCATCCTCATCCTCATCCTCATCCTCATCCTCATCCTCATCCTCATCCTCATCCTCATCCTCATCCTCATCCTCATCCTCATCATCCTCATCCTCATCATCCTCATCCTCATCCTCATCCTCATCCTCATCCTCATCCTCATCCTCATCCTCATCCTCATCATCTCATCCTCATCCTCATCCTCATCATCCTCATCCTCATATCATCATCATCATCATCATCATCATCATCATCATCATCATCATCATCATCATCATCATCATCATCATCATCATCATCATCATCATCATCATCATCATCATCATCATCATCATCATCATCATCATCATCATCATCATCATTCATCATCATCATCATCATCATCATCATCATCATCATCATCATCATCATCATCATCATCATCATCATCATCATCATCATCATCATCGGGTCACCGACGGGACACCGCGGGACACCGGCGGGACACCGCGGGCCCCCGGCCGCCCGGAAGGGAGTCATTTGGTCCGGCCGCGCCTCAGCCACACGGGACACCAGCGGGACACCGGCGGGACACCGCGGGCCCCCGGCCGCCCGGAAGGGAGACATTTGGTCCGGCCGCGCCTCAGCCACAGGAGACTTTCTCTCGCCCGCCCACGCAGCTTCGCCTCGCCCGCACGCACGGCACGCACGAACACAAAACCGAAATCGATTTCCCGGTAGGGGGGCTCTCCGTTCCACTTCGATCTCACCCCCTCACCTCCGACGACCACCCTGCGTGTGATAAGGAGGTAGTGGCGGGGGAGGAGAGGGGGGGGGAACCGACGTCTGACTCAATCGATCTCACTATCGATCTCACTCAACGGGGCACCACGGGACACCACGGGACACTTGTCGATCTCACTATCGGTCTCACTATCGATCTCACTCAACGAGACACCACGGAACACCACGGGCCACCACAGGACACCACGGGACACCGCAGGACACCTCTCGATCTCACTATCGGTCTCACTATCGATCTCACTATCGATCTCACTCAACGGGACACCATGGGGCACCTCGGGACACCTGTCGATCTCACCATCGATCTCACTATCGATCTCACTATCGATCTCACTTTTTGGGACACCACGGGACACCTCGGGGCACCACATCGATCTCAGTATCGATCTCACTATCGATCTCACTATCGATCTCACTCAACGGGACACCATGGGACACCACGGGACACCATAGGACACCACGGGACACTTGTGGATCTCACTATCGATCTCACTATCGATCTCACTCAAAGGGACACCATGGGCCACCACAGGACACCACGGGACACCGCGGGACACCTCTCGATCTCACTATCGGTCTCACTATCGATCTCACTATCGATCTCACTCAACGGGACATCACAAGACACCACGGGACACCACGGGACACCTGTCGATCTCACTATCGATCTCACTATCGATCTCACTTTTTGGGACACCACGGGACACCACGGGGCACCACATCGATCTCAGTATCGATCTCACTATTGATCTCACTATTGATCTCACTCAACAGGACACCACGGGACACCACGGGACACCACGGGACACCGCGGGACACCTCTCGATCTCACTATTGGTCTCACTATCGATCTCACTATCGATCTCACTCAACGGGACACCACAGGACACCACGGGACACCACGGCACACCTGTCGATCTCACTATCGATCTCACTATCGATCTCACTTTTTGGGACACCACGGGACACCACGGGGCACCACATCGATCTCAGTATCGATCTCACTATTGATCTCACTCAACGGGACACCACGGGACTCCACGGGACACCGCGGGACACCTCTCGATCTCACTATTGGTCTCACTATCGATCTCACTATCGATCTCACTCAACGGGACACCACAGGAGACCACGGGACACCACGGGACACCTGTCGATCTCACTATCGATCTCACTTTTTGGGACACCACGGGACACCTCGGGGCACCGCATCGATCTCAGTATCGATCATCGCGAGCGTCGAGGAGGCCCCAGATCTGGACCCAGAGGTCCAGCATCGGTGAGGATTTGGCCACCCAAGATCGATCCCGTCTGAGGCCCCGAACAAGAGGAATAGAATCATCGGAGGTTGGGGTGGTGAGATCGCAGTGGAACGGAGACCCCCAACCGGGCAATCGTTTCGTTTCGTTTCGTTCGTGTCGTGCGTGCGGGCGAGGCGAAGCTGCGTGGGCGCGCGAGAGGAATGAACCCGCCGTTGCTATGGCGAAATCAAGACAAATGATTATCCCCCGCCCGCCCATCCGGCGGTGGCTCGCGGTGTCCCGCGGTGTCCCGTGGTGTCCCGTGGTGTCCGCCGCTGCTAAGGCGAAGTCAAGACAAACGATTCTCCCCCGCCCGCCCGTCCGTCCGTCCGTCCGGCGGTGGCTCGCGTTGTCCCGCGGTGTCCCGTGGTGTCCCCCTATGGGGCCACGAAACGTGTGAGGGGTGTGTCAACATGGGTGCGGTGGCCGCATGCGAATGCTGGTATGAGGGAGATTTCGGTGGGGCTCCCTATGGAGCCACGAAACGAGTGAGGGGTGTGCTGAAACGGGCGATGATGATGCTGATGATGATGCTGATGCTGATGATGGTGATCATGATGATGATGATGATGATGATGGTGATGATGATGATGATGATGATGATGGATGCAGGCGATGATGATGTATGATGGATGATGGATGATGGGTGATGGATGATGGATGATGGATGATGGATGATGGGTGATGGATGATGGATGATGATGATGGATGATGATGGATGATGATGATGATGATGATGATGGTGGTGATGATGATGATGATGATGCTGATGATGATGATGATGATGATGATGATGATGATGATGATGATGATGATGAACGCGGAGCGCTGTCTCGTCAAAACGAGGATCCAACACCACAGGATGGTAGGGGAAAAGCAAGACGACGACAACACGGACGCTGACAAGAGGAAACAGGCACAAGACCCTCGCCCTCGCCTCCGCCCCCCTCCCCCCCCCCCGCGGCGTCCGAGAGGGGGCGCCTCGCAGGCGAGCGCCTCGCACTTGGAGTCCAACATCTTCACCAGGCCGCGCAGGCAGGCATCCGCCACCTGGTGGCACAAGCAGGGGCCTCCTCCTCCTTCTATCCTCTATCCTTAGCGACCCATCCTCCGGTCTCCGTCCACCTCCTCCTCCTCCTCTCTCCTCCTCCCCCAGCCCCTGCATCATACTCCATCATCACTCATCCATGCTCCATCCTCCCCTCCTCTTCTACCTCCACATCTGCTCCACTCTGCTTCGCCTTCCCCCTGCCACACTCCACCTCTTACACCTTCGCACCTTCGCCGCCACCCCTTCCTCCTCCTCCTCCTCCTCCTCCTCCTCCTCCTCCTCCTCCTCCTCCTACTCAACCTTCTCCTCCTCCTCCTTGTCCATCCTGGTTGTGCTCCACCTCATCCTTCTCTTCGTGAATTCATTTCAATCATCTTCATCATCATCATCATCATCATCATCATCATCATCATCATCATCATCATCATCATCACCACCATCATCATCATCATCATCATCATCATCATCATCATCATCATCAGCAGCAGCAGCAGCAGCATCATCATCATCATCATCAGCATCATCAGCATCATCATCATCAGCATCATCATCATCATCACCACCATCATCACCATCATCATCATCATCAACATCATCATCATCATCATCATCATCATCATCATCATCATCATCACCATCACCATCATCATAATCATCATCATCATCACCATCATCATCATCACCATCATCATCATCATCATCATCAGCATCGTCCTCATCATCAGCATCATCATCAGCGTCATCGTAATCAACGTCATAATCATCATCAGCATCACCACCACCATCACCATCATTATCATCATCATAATCATCATCAGTCGGAGCATCGTCATCATCATCATCATCGTCATCATCAGCATTATCAGCATCATCAGCATCATCAACATCAGCATCATCATCGTCAACAACAACATCAACATCAGCATCAGCAGCATCATCATAATCCACATCCGCATCGTCGTCATCATCAGCAGCAGCGTCGGCATGATCATCATCAGCATCAACCTCATCGTCTTATGCATTGCTGACCTATCATAAACATTGACGGTTTCATCGTCATCATGCTCATGATAATGCTCATGGTGAGTATGGTCATCTGTATCTTCATCAGCAACAACATCCCCATCAGCAGCATCATCTGCGTACGTGTGCTTTCTCAACTTAATTCGATGTCCCCTCTTCCTCCCCCTCCACACCCTCAGCATGAACCGCATCAACAGCATCACCATCACCATCACCATCACCATCACCATCACCATCATCATCATCATCATCATCATCATCATCATCATCATCATCATCTTGATCATCATCAGCATCATCATCATCATCATCATCATCATCATCATCATCATCATCATCATCACCGTATCTGCCACCATCGCTCTCATCCCCATCTTCATCATCACCACCATCGTCGTCATCATCCTCACCAACATCCTCATCGTCTTCTCCATGCAAGCTCATTCGCTGTCATTTTCATGGCATTGGCATTCCCGCCATCTGTTCAATCCGCGTGCGGCATGGCGAGCGCCCTCGAGAGATGCCAAACCCTTCAACACCTCACAGGTCCTGGCAAGGGAAGGTCTCAACTCATTCAACCGACGCTCGCAAAGAACACGCATCACTGCAGCTGCGGCCGTCAGGAGGGCCGATAAAGCCAAAAACACTCCGCATCCTGGCGGGCCTCTCGCTCCGAAAACAAGGCGGAGTCGCGGGGCCCAATGCAGCTACGGAGGAATCCGTCGGGAGCGCGTGCTCGGGTTCTAGCCTGCATCCTCGTATGAAGGAAGCCGGCGGAGGAAGCCGACGGAGGAAGCCGACGGAAGCGCGTACTCGTCCTGGAATATGGCCATCATCACTAGCATTAGGTCGGGCATATCCTCCTACAGGGGGATTTCGGACGAAAAAATTCAAAGACCCCCAGAATGCCCCAAAATGGTCAAAAAATACAAGAAAAATCGTCCCCATACTATTTTTGGACTATTTGGGAATATTCCTCCTGTAGAGGGACAGGCCCGACTTCACACTAGCATCCTCTTCCTCATCCTATTCATCTTCCTCTTCCTCCTCCTCCTCCCCCTCCTCCTTCTCCTCCGCTTCCTCTTCCTCCTCCTCCTCCTCCTCCCCCTCCTCCTCCTCCTGGACCCTTCTCCACCATGCAGCATCGAACGTGAGAAATCAGAGGCGGGGCACGAGAGAGGATGAGTGAGAAATTGCCCCCAAACAGTCCGCTCAGCATTAGAGATGACAGATACGCAACACATCAAATACGAAGGTACTGACGTGGGTAACCGGTGGCAAACGCCAAATATCGCATCCGAACCACGTGTGGCAGGTGGGCGGCGCACCGACGATATCTTCAGCGCGATCTGCGTTATGGTCTGCACGGCGAGCGCCTGGCGAAGAGCGGCGAGAGAAATCACGGTCACGACCGTGGATATCGAGCCGGCGTCTACCGGAAACAAACCAAGAGGAGTCATGTAGGAGACATCGGCCGTGGTGGAAAGGCAAGATCGGTAGCGGAAATGGGAACAGAAAGAACGAGCAGGAAGAGGACGGGGAGGAGGCAGAACTGGAAGAGGAGGAGCGCATGGGTGCGATCTCGTGCTGGCAATACCATTGTCGCGCGCCTGTCTACCTTGCCTGGCACAAGCGCACTGGCACATGTCTACCCTGAGGAAGCCAAGGAGAAGATCATTTGATCCTCGACGACAACAAAAATGAACTTTCCACTTTGCGACACAGCAAGCGCAAGTCACGGAACAGCCGCGTGGCAAGCCCTTCACAAGGTCTCACTCAAGCTGTTGATTGATAGCCCGCCTCCTCCCGCTCCCTCCTCCTACTCGTGTTCCTCCTTACCTGTTTGGTTCAGGCCCGTTACGCTCAGTCCCCCATCCTGACCGCACTCTGGTTCCAACAAATGCAAGAGCTGATCCATCAACCAAGCGTGGAGCCCGAGAATTTATCACATCCCAAGCTACGTGTTAGTCACAGTCATGTATCCTGCAGCAACTCTCCACGAGCACTGTAACACTGTCCAACGCAAAGCTTCGCAAAGCAGTTTCACGCCGCACTGTCTCGCAGGCTCTCCTCCCTCCCCCTCCCCACGCGCCCTCCCGTACGCTGCTGCCTCGTTGACTCAGTGGGAGCGCCAGTCAGTGCCTGAAACGCCCCTAGCAACACAGCGAGCCGCCACCGCGCGGGCCCGCTCACATCTGGACGCCCGAAATGGGTACGGAAAGAATGGGTACAATGCCCAACAACAGATGTTGTCCCAAACCAGCAGCGGCCGCTGTTGGGCAGGCAGCCTTCTGTCTCGAATGGACACAGGCCGCGGCGGCGCGGACAGCGAGTCCTGTTCAAAATGAACAGGAACTGCTGTTGGGCATTGTACCCATTCTTTCCGTACCCATTTCGGGCGTCCAAATCACAGACCTGGGGATGGGTGGAGAACCCCCCCCCGGTCACGACTCCCAGAAGGGGGGGGGGCCCGTCCTCCCAGCCACTCCCGGACTCCCCCCCCCTTCACCCCCCCCCTTCCCCCCGGCCACTCCCCTTCCCCCCTCCCCCCTTCCCCCCCCTCCCCCATCCCCCTTCCCCCTTCCCCTTCCCCTCCCCCCTTCCCCCCTTCCCCCCTCCCCCCTCCCCCCTTCGCCCCTGCCGGGGGGACACGGGAGCACCACAAACTCCGGGTGCGAGTGCCAGGACACGTAGGCCTGCGCGGGCCGCGGGGGACCGGTCGCGGCGGGCAGCGCCCACCGCGCCGCGCACGACGCGGGCAGGCGGAAGGGGAGGGGGCAGGCAGGCCAAGGACTGGCTCGCTCGGACGTCCATTCCCTGTGCTTTTTTCGGTTTCGTGCGTGGCATTTTCGCCAAATGATCCAGGATGCTCCTCGATGGTCCTCGCCGGCGGAAAAGTGCACACGTCCGAGCGATGCCAAGAGGAAGCCAGGGGCCCGAACCGCGCGCACGGGCAGCTCACTACGCTTCGAGCTTCACCGACGACGAGCGCAGACACGGTCAGAAAGGGAGGAAGGACGAGGGGGAGAGGCGGGTTGGCTGTGGGAGCGAAGGGATGTGGCGCAAGGGCGAGCGGGAGGGGGTAGGGCGGAGGGGGCTAAAGGACATCCTTGTCGACACAGCATCGGGGGCCCAGGGAGAGGACAGGAAAGAGGAGGAGAGGAGAGGAGAACATGACAGATGTTTGGCAGAAACTGCATCGTAACGGATGTGTACCTGGGCCAGAGACGGGATGCAAACTAAGAGGTCGCTTGTAATTCAAGCCATTCCAGATCATGTACCGTGTGCCAAATTGCGGCGACCCGATGCAATCAGCAAACGCGCTCGTTGGTTGCCAGTTGTGGGGAACTCGAACTGGCATGAACTGTTCCAATCTCCCATCTTTCACCATGATAAGCCGACGACGAATCAAAATCACTCACCCCAATGCAAATGGCGCGTGGGGCCCTATCAACAGGTCTGTTGAGTCGGTGGTCGGTGCTCCATGTGCTACGAACATCTCCCCTGGACGCAGGATCCCGTAAACGTTCGCCCGCCGACCATGCCGTCCTGGCTTTCTTCTCTCTGCCACAAAACTAACAAACGAGCAGCCAAAACGGCCAGGCAAAGGCCAGGAACCAACTGAGCTATGTTCAGGATGGGTGCACACCAAAACTGAGCATGCAAAGACTGTGCGCGGAAGTGTCATACGTTCACCTCTCTACAGTGTGTGGCTTGTCGCGGTGGCAAGCTTCGATGCGGGGGTAAGGGTTGTGTCAACTTCTCCGACTGATGATGATACTCCATCCCGTCAACGTCCATCTGCAGACATAGCATCATCCGAAATTGAGGTGTCACTGTTTTACGTAGGCGTGCGAAGTGCGGGCAAACGTCTGGCGTGCTCCGTCGTGAAACTGGCGACCCTGTGTAAGTGTTCTGGATGCAAACAAGCTTCACCCATAATGGCTTGAAGCAAAGGCTTGAAGCACACTGGTTTGAGCAAACATGAACGTGAAGCAATAACTATTTCTGCGTTGTGCGCCTCCACAACAGTTTCCTCTAGACCTTCTAGTTGGCCCTCGAAGGAGAGACGTCGTGACGTGTTCGGAGACCCCTCCAGGACCTCTCCGAAGCCTTCTTGATTGGGGGGCATGGTAGCCGTCTGGGGGGGACTTCGGGGACTGTCTGGAAGGGATCAGAGACCATTCGGGGGCCCAGGAAAGGCCCTGGAGAGGAGGAAGAGAAGGAGGAGGAGCCTGCTATTGTTCCCTACCTAGGCTCTGCCTAGAAGGGTTCTTACTTTGTGTGCTAAAGGGGGCGGGCAATGCTACCCACCCCGGGCGGTTCCCCCAGTTGCGCCCCCCTGGTTCCCCCAGTTGCGCCCCCTGGGTTCCCCGAGCTTAGCTTAGCTTAACTTACCCTGAGCTTAGCTTCGCTTAGCTTTAGCTTAGCTTAGCTTAGCTTAGCTTAGCTTAGCTTAGCTTAGCTTAGCTTAGCTTAGCTTAGCTTAGCTTAGCTTAGCTTAGCTTAGCTTAGCTTAGCTTAGCTTAGCTTAGCTTAGCTTAGCTTAGCTTAGCTTAGCTTAGCTTAGCTTAGCTTAGCTTAGCTTAGCTTAGCTTAGCTTAGCTTAGCTTAGCTTAGCTTAGCTTAGCTTAGCTTAGCTTAGCTTAGCTTAGCTTAGCTTAGCTTAGCTTAGCTTAGCTTAGCTTAGCTTAGCTTAGCTTAGCTTAGCTTAGCTTAGCTTAGCTTAGCTTAGCTTAGCTTAGCTTAGCTAGCTAGCTTAGCTTAGCTTAGCTTAGCTTAGCTTAGCTTAGCTTAGCTTAGCTTAGCTTAGCTTAGCTTAGCTTAGCTTAGCTTAGCTTAGCTTAGCTTAGCTTAGCTTAGCTTAGCTTAGCTTAGCTTAGCTTAGCTTAGCTTAGCTTAGCTTAGCTTAGCTTAGCTTAGCTTAGCTTAGCTTAGCTTAGCTTAGCTTAGCTTAGCTTAGCTGCCTAGCCTTAGCTTAGCTTAGCTTAGCTTACTTAGCCTAGCTTAGCTTAGCTTAGCTTTAGCTTAGCTTAGCTTAGCTTAGCTTAGCTTAGCTTAGCTTAGCTTAGCTTAGCTTAGCTTAGCTTAGCTTAGCTTAGCTTAGCTTAGCTTAGCTTAGCTTAGCTTAGCTTAGCTTAGCTTTGCCTAGCCTAGCCTAGCTTAGCTTAGCTTAGCTCAGCTCAGCTTAGCTTAGCTTAGCTCAGCTAGCTTAGCTTAGCTTAGCTTTGCCTAGCCCAGCTTAGCTTAGCTTAGCTTAGCTTAGCTTCGCTTCGCTTAGCTTAGCTTAGCTTCGCTTCGCTTCGCTTAGCTTAGCTTAGCTTAGCTTAGCTTAGCTTAGCTTAGCTTACCATCTTAGCTTAGCTTAGCTTAGCTTAGCTGTTGCTTTCCTGAATGCTCCAACTCCTAGGTAGGGTCGCACTGGGATAATCACTGGCGCACTCCGTGAGCTGGAAGGACTCGAACACATGGCGGAAAACATGTTCGCCATTGTGCAACCCAAAGAATGAGTCAGTTCACTGTGGATGTGAATACGTGGTACAATCAATGTGGTGTAAGCTAGGTGGTACAAACAATGTGGTGTCAGTGACGCGATGAAGGGCAAGCTGTGGTGTGTGCAAACTATTTGGTGCTAAATGTGCGGTGCAAGCCTTGCCGGCGCCCCACGAGGCGCCCACAGGCAGCCGCAGACGAGCGACCGATCGGGCACCAGGCGACGCTCGGCGCACCCACCTGGCGCATGGAACGCTCAAGAGGCGCCCACGGGCGGCAAACGACCAGGCACCAGGCGAAACCTGGACACACCCTGATGGGCCCTTCCACCACCACCACCACCATAAGTTGGAGGGGGAGGGGGGCCTCCTCCTCCTCCTCCTCCTCCTCCTCCTCCTCCTCCTCCTCCTCCTCCTCCTTCCCCCCAACTTACGGTGGTGGTGGTGGTGGTGGAAAACAGGCTCATCACACCCACCCAGCGCACGGGGCGCGAACGAAGAACCCACGGGCGGCATCCGGACACCTGGCGAGACCTCGGCGAAACCTCGCTACACCCACCCAGCGCACGAGGGCGCCCACGAAGCGCCCACGGGCGGCAACCGACCAGGCACCAGGCGAAACCTCGACACACCCACCCAGCGCACGGGGGCGCCCACGGGGCGCCAAAAAGCGGCAACCGACCGGGCACCAGGCGAAACCTCGGACCCACCCAGCGCACGGGGCGCGAACGAAGCGCCCGCGGACAGCAATCGACTGGGCACCATGCAAATCCTCGGCGCACCCGTCCAACGCACGGGGCGCGAACGAAGCGCCCACGGGCGGCAACCGACTGGGCACCAGGCGAAACCTCGGCGCACCCGTCCAGCGCACGGGGCGCCCAGCAATCGACCCGGCACCAGGCGAAACCTCTGCACACCCACCACGCGCACGGTGCGCCGACGAGGCGCCCTCGGGCGGCAGTCGACCGGCCACCGGGCGAAACCTCGGCACACCCGGCCGAGCTGTTTGAGCAGAGCCGAGCCAGAACAGCCTCAGCAGGCCTCGGCGACATCTGCTGCAGTCGCTGGACGGATCTCCGCAGCACTGGCTTCCAAGAGCAATATCCCAGATGCCTCGGCCACACAGCGCCGTGTTCGGCCGCTCCAGCCGCAGCCGCAGCTGCAGCGTCCACACCAGCTGCCACGGCTGCGCGTGGCGCCCGCGACTCGCCCACGCAGCGCACGCCGCACCCGCAAGGCGCGGAGCGCGGCGAGACCTCGGCACGTGCACGAGGCGGCCGCGGGCGACAGCGTGGCGAGCCCTCGACATACCTATCCAGTTGCTCGGGACACCCGAGCAACTCGGGGAAGGAGAAAATGTTTCCGAGCTGCTGATCACCGCCTGCGGGAGTCGCAGAGGCACACACTGCAGGGGCGGGCCTCTGCACAGCGGTTCGCAACGCAGGCCACGCATCCGCGGCAGTGAATGCAATCGATAGCACGACTAAACACTGGATCCAAAGTAACAAAATCATCTAAGTGTGGAAAGGAAACGCCGCTGCTAGCTTCCGAGAAAGCGAGGAATCTCAGATCCACATGTCCTCATGCATCCTCATGATAGCACGTTGCGCCTGCCAGCCCAATGCTGGGCTCGGACCCCTTTGGCCGCGCATCATGCGCCGCAGACCAACCTGACCTCACGGGCATCGGCCTGCTCTGGCCGCACCGCGACTGGCCGTCGGAGAAGCCACCACGGATATCACGGGGCCGAGTGCCGCAGGAGAAGGCACAGCCAGCCAGTGGCGCAGAAGCCGCTCCAGGCCCTCCGAAGGCAACCTTCTCTGGACACTGGTGCAAATCGCCAGCAAGGGGGCCACATGCAAACCCTACCCCTCCCCCCCACGATGTCTGAGGGGCAGGGTGGGGGAGGGTTCGCATGAGGCCCCCTGCCAGCGGCCCAGGCCGGCGCTTTCCCGCGCGCCGCCCGCCGTCGGAGAAGCTCGTGACAGCGCCTGGGCGGCCTCTGCTGAGCTCGTGGCCAGTAAGGCAGCCTCCCGCCGCCGCGGCAGCCAGCCGCAGCTGCGACGCTCGCCAAGGCCTGCCGCGGGTACGCCTGCCGTCGCAGCACCGCGGGCCGGCTGGCCGCCGGAAGCGCCGCCGCGAGGACGAGCACCGCGGGAGGGGCCCTGGCTGATGGGCCTGTTTTCCACCACCACCGCCACCATAAGTTGGAGGGGGAGGGGGTCCTCCTCCTCCTCCTCCTCCTCCTCCTCCTCCTCCTCCACCACCTCCTCCTCCTCCTGCTCCTCCTCCTGCTCCTCCTCCTCCGCTTTGTCCTCCTCCTCCTCGTCCTCCACCTCCTCCCCCCCTCCAACTTATGGTGGTGGTGGTGGTGGTGGTGGTGGTGGTGGTGGTGGTGGTGGTGGTGGTGGTGGTGGTGGTGGTGGTGGTGGTGGTGGTGGTGGTGGTGGTGGTGGTGGTGGTGGTGGTGGTGGTGGTGGTGGAAAGCAGGCCCGTGCATGGCGTGGCGTGCTGGTGCGCGGGGCACGGCGTGCCGCGCCAGGCCCAGCAGCCACGCCACGCGGGAGCCCCCTGCCCGACCGCCGTCTCGGTGGAGGCGCGGGCCGCCGTGCGCTTGCGGGCTGGGCTGGGGGGCAGCTGATGGGAGGTCCTCGTGGGAAGGGTCAGCTTTTTTTTGATTTGTTTTTCTTCCTGCAAGCGTACATGATGGAACCTCCCTCGCCCCCAACGCTTGGGTGGTGAGTCAGATGCCAGCGTTTCGTGGGAAGGGTAAGCTGAGGGCTGCCGAGCCCTACTATGAAGGAGCCATGGAGCCACGCGGGCGCCCCTGCCCGACAGCCTTCTCGGTGGAGGCGTGGGCCGCCGTGCGCTTGCGGGCTGGGCTGGGGGGCAGCTGCTGGGAGGTCTTCGTGGGAGGGGTACGCTGAGGGCTGCCAAGCCCTACGATGAAGGAGCCATGGAGCCACGCGGGAGCCCCTGCCCGACAGCCGTCTCGGTGGAGGTGCTGCCGCCGTGCTGCGCTTACGGGCTGGGTCGGCAGGCAGCTGCTGGGAGGTATTCCTGGGAAGGGGTAAGCTGAGGGCTGCCAAGCCCTACCATTAGGGAGCCATGGAGCAGGGCTAGCCCGAAGGAAGCCCAGGAATACCCCCGAACTGAGCTGGGCCACGCGGGATGAAGCAACACTGAAAGGGACTCTGGCAGATTAGGTCGGTTTTCAACCACGGGCACACCAGCGCCGATGCCGAATGTAACCTCCCAGGAGTTGCATCCTAAGCTGGGGCCTCGAGGGGGGTACGCGCTCGCCAGGCCTCCCGCGGGCCACTGGCGAGGGGCCGGCGCACCTAGGGACTGGTGTGCTCTGGATGTCTTGCACGCACGCATGGTTTTAGCATGCGCGTGCGGGCGCTATCGTTTGTTGCGTGCCGACGTGCAACGGACGCACAGCGACGAGGGGCAGCAGAGCAAAGAGTGGGCAGGCGAGAGAAGGCTGCCACTGAATGGCACGCAGACGGACGGGCAGGCTGATTCCGCACGTCTGCAAGCATCCTGCGGCACACGCGGCCACATGTCTGTACGGGCACCTCCGATGGCTGACTGCCCACGTGACCATCATGCCAGCCCGCGGTGGAGATTCTAGGCCCCACGGCTCCTCGAGGCCGCGTGCCCGCGTCTCCGACCCATGGTGGCGCTCTGCCGTGCGAGGCGCCCACCGCGCCAAGCAAATGACCACCCCAGGTCGGCCGGCCATGGCCTAGTGGCGATAATGCAAGATGCGCCCACGACGTGGCGCAGGGCGCCGAGGGCAGAAGGGCAGGCGCCACGACGAGGCGGGGACCTGGGGAGCCCGAGCGGCGCCCGATGGGGGGGATGCAGGGCGCCTGCATCTCCCGGAGTACCAGTTGCACGCTCGTGTCGTCCACGAGCCTCTCCAGGATCTGCGGTGGGCGGCGGGAGGGGGGGGGGGGCCCGGACCAGTGGGGCAAGGAGGGAGGGATGGTGGTTGGGAGGATGGGGAGGCGGGAGGGGAGGGAGGGGAGGGGAGGGGAGGAGGGGAGGGTGGGAGGGGAGGGGAGGGAGGGGAGGGAGGGGAGGGGAGGGAGTGGAGGGGAGGGGGAAGGAGGGAGGGAAGGAGAAAGGAGAAACAGGAGGGAGGGGAGGGGAGGCGGGCGGAGTAGAAGGCAGGCGGTGGAAAAGAAAAGGCGGGTGGAGGTCGGAGGGAGGGGGGATTGAGAGGGGAGGTGGAGGGAGGCGCTCCTCCACCTCCTCCTCCTCCTCCTCCTCCTCCTCCTCCTCCTCATCCTCCTCCTCCTCCTTCTCATCCCTCCTGGTCGTGGTCGTCGTCGGCGTCATCGTCGCAATCATCATCCTCATCAGCATCAGCATCATCATCAGCAGCAACATCGTCATCATCATCATGATCATCATCATCATCATCATCATCATCATCATCATCATCATCATCATCATCAGCATCAGCATCAGCATCAGCATCATCATCAGCAGCAGCAGCATCGTCATCATCATCATCATCATCATCATCATCATCATCATCAACATCATCAACATCATCAACATCATCAACATCATCAGCATCATCGTCATGTTCTTCATCATCATCAGCACCAGCATCATCATCAGCATCGTCCTCATCATCCTCATCATCCTCATCATCACCATCGTCATCATCATCATGTTCTTCATCATCATCATCAGCACCAGCATCATCATCAGCATCGTCCTCATCATCCTCATCATCCTCATCATCATCATCATCACCATCGTCATCATCATTATCAGTATCATCAGCATCATCAGCATCATTCAAAACATCATGACCATCACCATCATCATCATCATCACCACCAGCACCATCATCATCACCCTCATCATCATCATCACCATCATCATCATCATCATCCGCAGCATCACCATCATCATCACCATTATCAGCATCATCAGCATCAGCATCATTACCATCACCACCATCATCAGCATCATCATCCCCATCACCATGACCATCACCACCACCACCACCATCATCATTTCGCCCGATTTTGGAGCCTCTGGGGCCTCCTTGGGCCTCGTGAGGGGTGGTGCCCTGGAGGCCGTGTGGGGCCTGGGGACGCCTCAGGCCAGGGAAATTTCTGACCCGTTTCGACTTGGCGGCGCGCAGAGGGGGGTGGGGTGAGGGGGGAAGGCTTCTTAGAAGCACCGCTGCTCCTTGGAAGGCGCGGGCCCTGCCCGCGCCTTCTAAGAAGCGGCCTCCAGAAGCCTTCGCCCCTCCACTTAGCCCCCTCTGCAGACCGCCAAGTCGAATGGGTACGAGTCGGGCGTTGCCAGGAGTTTCCCTGGCATCCGTTGTCCCCAGGATCTCCAAGGGGCCCCACACGGCCTCCAGAGCACGCCCAAGAGGCCCCAGGGGCTCCAACATTGAGCCATTGGCCGGGGGCACCTTGGGCCAGGGGCACCAATTGGCAGCCCCCGAACGGTGGGCTCGTGTCGTGCCGACGCGGCGGCGACCCCGTCGCGGGCGTTCCGGGCCCCTTTGCAACGATCCGGCGCTCGAGAAGCCGCCGATCCTTCAAGGTTGACCGATCCACGTGGTGGCAGGAAACAGCGCCAGGGTCGTCACGACACCAACCTCAGGGGAACAAGAAGTGGCATAAGCATAAGAACTCGGAGGTCCGCGCGGATTTCTCGGATCGGCGCTGGGGCCCCCCGGCGGCGCCTCCGGCGCCGCCATTGGCGCGCTCTGCGCGCCAGGGAAGGGGGTCCAGCGCCGATCCGAGAAATCCGCGCGGACCTCCGAGTTTTTATGTTTATGTCACTTATTGTTCCCCTAAACCTGCCGTACGAAGACCGACAACATGTCCTGCCCTATTGAGCAGGGCTCGCGGTCCATGCGAGGCAGACGGCCGCCTGCTCCACAGCGGCCGCTGGCGGTCTGGGGCAACACTCGTTGTGGGGCATGGTGCCCATTTTTTCCCGTACCGATTCCGGGCGTCCACAGAATCATCACCTCCCATCATCCATCATTACATCCTCGATCCTCGCGCCTCATTCCTCCTCATCCTCGTCTTCTCCCTTGGCTCATGCGGCAGCATCATCCTCATCATCATCATCCTCATCCTCAGAACATCTCTGGCCGAGGCAGTCCTGTTTGAGTCCATCGCTCCGATGCCCCAAGAACAGCGAGCATGCCGTGGTGGGCCTCGTGCTGGGACGGTGGGCCCCTGCTCCACAGGCGGCCTTCCTGGCGCTGCACGCGCGCGGCGCACTGGTGTGCCTGGTATCGCGCAACGAGGAGGCGGACGTGCGGGCCGTGCTGGAGGGGCGGCGGGAGGATCGAAAGCTGGGCGAGGGCTGCTAACACCGTGGCTGCTAAAACGGCCCTCCCGGAAGGAAAACGCAACTTCCCGGAATGAGGCGCGGCACGCGAAAGAGCCAACGGGCTTCTTCCCGGAAGGACGAAGACAACTTCCCTGAGGTCGATTTTAGCAGTCACGGATTTAGCAGCCTTTGCCCGGCTTCCGAGAGGAGCTGGCCCTTCGCGAGGAGCGAGGCACGGAAGACTGCAAGTGTAAAATCACCACCCGCATATCAGCATCATACATCATGCATCACCCATCATCAAACATCAACACCATCGTGATCATCATCAGCCTCTGCATCCCCTTCGGGTCAGGGTACCCTTCTTCCCTGGGGTGTTGGTCGCTCGCCGCCCAACAAATCCCAACTTCGGCCTCCAAGGGTCTTGTGTCCTTACCGCCCGTCCTTACTCGACGTTTTCATTGTTGTCTGAATCTGATTTCCTGGAGGTCCGCGCGGACTCCGCGGTCCGCGCGATTGCCAGGGAACTATGGACAACACATGGGAAGCGGGCGGGAAGACGAACATCCAGAACATATGGAAACATCTATATATATATATATATATATATATAGGTATATATATAGGACGCTCCTGGGTGTTGTGCTGATGTATTTGTGCCCTTGTCCCCCTGTATGGTGGGTGGTTTTAGCATGATATCTCGGAGGTCCGCGCGGACTCCTCGGAGCGGCGCGCCCGGGGGTGCCCAGAGAGCCGATCCGGGAAACTCTGCGCGGGCCTCCGAAGACGCGTGTCAAGGCTGCGCTCCTTCTTCTTCGGAGGACGGGTGAGAGGGAACGCGGGAGGGAGCAATCGAGTACGAGACCGACTGCAGAATCGATGTATCCCCACATTGGTTTTCTCGTCGGACCCATGACAAGTGCACGGGATGTTCGTATATCTGCGTCGCAGTCCACGTCTTTGTTCGTGACCCCGACGAGAAAGTCGATTCTGGGGTAAATGAGTTCTGCAGTCGATTCCCTACTCAAAACAAGGGGGGGCGGGCGGGAAGGGGAGGAGGAGGAGGAGGAGGGCCGTGCCCTCTGGCTTCTCTCTCCTCGAGAGGAGCACGTCGTGGCGGTGAGCGCGAATTGGCGCGACAAGTCGGCCAACCTGCGCGACCTCGCGGCCCGGCTGTGCCTTTCCCTCGGCTCCTTCGCCTTCGTGGATGACTCCCCCGCCGAGTGCGCGGAGGTTCGGGGGCGGAAAAGAGGGGGGTGATGACTAGGAGGGGGTGGATATCATGGCGGGGGCCATGATATTTCCTCAGATTTCATGGCGCCGCTTCTTATTTCATCACGTCCCTGGCCCCCCCGCTGGGCCGCGCACGTGCCGCCGGTCATGATCTGCCCCCCCCCCCTCCCTCTTGGACGACCTCCCCCCCTTTGCCGCTCCCGAGAGGTGGCGGCCGCGGCCTCGGCAGACGGCGCCGCGGTGGTCCAGGTCCCGCGCGAGCCGGCCGCCATTCCCGGCTTCCTGCGCCACGCCTGGGCGCTGGACCTCGGCTTCACCCTGGTCGGGGGCGGCCAAGAGGGGGGTGCTGACCCAGGGGGGGGGGTGCACATCGTGGCGTGGGCCAGGACAATTCCTTAGAGTTTTCATGGCGCCTCTTCTGCTTTCACTGCGTCCCTGGGTCCCCCCCTGGGCCGCGCACAGGCAGCCAGCCAAGATTTGCGCCCCCCCCCTCTTGGCCGCCCCCGACCTAGCATGCTTGTGCGATGTGCCCAGAGAGGTCCGACTCTCCAACAAAAGTTGGAGCGGCAGGCTTCTGCTCGATCTCGGCCTCGCAGGGGCCCTCGGGGCCGTAGGCGGCCCAAGAGGCCTCGAAGAGCACCCCCAAGAGAGCCCCAAGACGCCAAAAACATTGATTTTTCAATGGTTTTTGAAAGATGTTCACGTTCTCGCCATTTCGGCTTACCCACGCTCCAAGACGGCCCAGGAGGCCCCCAAGATCGCCCCAAGACGGCCCTCGAGGCCCCCAAGGGGGCTCCAAGACGGCCCAGGAGGGCACCAAGACGGCCCAAGAGGCCCCCGGGACGGCCCAAGAGGGTGCCCAGACGGGGAACCCGAACGGTCATTTCGAGCTTTCGGTCCCAAGAGGCCCCCAGGGGGACCTAAGAGGCCCCTAGGGGCTCTTGGGGGCCCCCCAAGAGGGCCCCAAGAGGCTCCCAAGAAGCCCCCAGGAGGCCCCCAAGAGGCCCTTCAACTCCCCCGCAGAGGCCCCCGAGAGCCCTCTCGAGAGACCCCAAGAAGCGTCTATGAGGATTCCGACACAAAACCCAAGCACAGTCGCGGGATGGGCCGACGGCCATTTGATAGCTGGCATACGCGCCGCGTCACGACTTTCGATGCTGCGCACCACTTTGGCAAACTCCCAGGGAGCGGCTGGTGATGCGCCGCCGGCGTCCTCGATATGGGAAGTGGGGGGGAAGACTAATGTCTAGAAGAGAATTGAAACATGTAGGGAATATGAAGATTTGTGTATATTTCGGTGTTTGCCCCTGGGCCCCTTCAACCCAAAGATGCTGATGCTTACGTGCGCGTCGCCCCCAGCAGGGGCGACGCGCGCTTTTTGTAACACATATTATATGGTGCGTGCGCGGTGGCGGACGCGTTCCGGCCATGCCGCTGGGGTGCCTTTGTGCTGTACGGCCAGACCGAGGTGTAAGATCAAGGTTGGTTCGGGGAGGGTGCCCTGGTGTTCTTCGTGCTTGTTGGATGGTCTTGTGCATCCTGGGAGAGGGCACCCTCGAATGTCCTTGTCCCCTCCGTCTTGGTTCCCTCATTCGCCGTCTTTTCCTATCCTCCTTGGCTCGTTCATCGCATGGAGGAGTCTCCTTTCCCCCAGTGGGGAAGCTGGGCAATGTTCATCATCACTTCATTGGTTCGTGGAAGGAAGCCACAAGAAGATGGTTGTGCTATATGTTCTGGTCGGATGCACGCCTCCAAGGAGGACACCCAGTACTACACTGCACTCGAGAAGGACAAATGCACAGAACACACATACTCACCGATCGCTGTTTGAAAGTATTCTGAGAATCTGAGAAGTGGAGGGGAAGACGAACGTCCTGAAAATATGACACATATGTTGAATCCTGGGATCTGTGTCTATTTCTATGTGTGTGTGCCTCTGGGTCCCTCCAAGCATGTCCTGTGGCCCAGGACCCGCCGCCGGAGCGGGGTGCGGCGGGCACCGCCGAGGACGGCGCGAGGACGAGGCTGTACAGGGAGCTGTCCGAGAGGAGGCGCTTTGTCGCGGGAGCGGCGCGCGACTCGTCCGCCGCCGCGTCCTCGTCTGCGTTCCTGGCGTCCCTGAACCTGACCGTGGACGTCAGGGGCAACGATCGGGGGGGGGGGGGGCAAGCCGGTCGTTGAGAGCAGGCGTGCCTTGGGATGTCCAGGTCCCAGTCTACTCTACGAGCGCCTTCCTGCTTCCTTCAAGGCTCGATGTGGTTCTGCTGTCGTCCCTCATTCTGTGGGCGGGCCCGAGCCCAATCTGCGTTGCCCGCCTTCCTGCTTCATGTTTCCACCGACCTCCTCCCATGGGCGGGGAGGCGGGAGGAAGCCCGGGGAGGGATGCATCGACCCACAGGGGCCATCGACCCCACAGGGGCCATCGACCCCACAGGGGCCATCGAAGCCCCACAGGGGCCATCGACCCCACAGGGGCCATCGACCCCACAGGGGCCATCGCTTTGCCCGAAGGATTGCAAAAAAAACCCAGGATTGCAAAACAACCCGAAGGATTGCAAAAAAAGATTGCAAAAAAGGGTTTTTTTGCAATCCTTTGTTTTTGCAATCCTCCTTCGAGTGAGCCCGGGGAGGGATGCATCGACCCCCTGCCGCCCAGTCGGCGCCCACGGGGGCCCGAGAGCCCCGCCCCGCCCCGGAGCGCGAGGGTTCGTTCTCGGGGGGCCCATCGCCGACGCGTCGGCGAGGCATCCGCGATTCCGGGGCCATGCTCCCCAGGAGGGAAAAAGACACACAGACACAATGAGTCGTCGATTCCCAGGAAGATACGGGAAAAGATGGGAAGTGGGGGGGAAGACAGAAACCCAAGAAAACATGGGAAAATGTGGGGGTGTCCTGTTGCTTTGTATGTGTTTCTTTGCGTGTCCCAGGGCCCCTGTCAGGTCCCCCCTTCCCCCCCTCGAGCTGGTCCCCCCCTCGAGCTGGTTCCCCCCCGAGCTGGTCCCCCCTCGCCACCCCCTCGAGCTGGTCCCCCCCCCTGGTCCTCGAGCGTTGCCCCTCGAGGACATCGAGCTGCTGGAGGCCGGGACCGCGGAGAGGGCCGCTCAGCCCGGCGGGGCGGCAACAGGGGGGGGGCAGTGCGCGTGTCCCGGACCCCCTTCTCGGGCGATCGCAAACAGGGAACAAGGAGGAGGGGAGGAGGAGGGGAGGAGGAGGAGGAGGAGAGGAGGAGCGAGAGGGGGAGGGGAGGAGGAGGAGCAGGAGGGGGAGGGGGAGGAGGAGGGGAGGAGGGGGAGGAAGGAGGAGGAGGAGGAGGAGGAGGAGGAGGAGGAGTAGAGGAGGAGGAGGAGGCGGAGGAGGAGGAGGAGGAGGCCCGGCAGAGGTCGGCCACGCGCAGAGGGGGGTAGGGGGAGGGGGGGAAGGCTTCTGAGAAGCACCCCTGCTTCGCTTCGACCCTCGTGTTGCGGAAAACTCCTGGCGGGCGGTTCGAAGTGGACCCCACCCACCCTCATAAATTGTGGGGGGGTAGGGGTAGGGTTCGCACGTGGCCTCCTATCTTGAGGATCGCACCACGGAACAACAATCATGGCGTCGGGGGTTTGGGGGGCCAGGCACTAGGCACAAGGCGCTAGGTGAGCTAGGCGATAGGGGAAGGCGAAGCGACATGCAGGATCGAGGATAACTGATGTGGCAAGTCCAACTCCCCCTTCCTCTTTCTCACGCCCCTACACCCTTGCCCCACTACCCATTGCCCGTTGCGGGACGGGGGGGAGGGAGCAGTGCGCGTGTCTTCGACGAGCCTCCCTTGCGAAGAGGCGTCCCCTGGGATCCGACGTTGCAAGACAAGTGCAACATCGGACCTACCTTTCTGCGTCCTTGTTCGCGCCGGATCGACCTCTGAGGGTTCCGTGGCCCGAAGCCCGGCGAAGACGCCCGTTGTGAGAAAAAGGCAGCGCCAGGATCTAAGGGTCATACCCGCCCCTGGGCTGTCCACCCCTTCTGCCTCCGCCGGCCAGCTGACGGAGCGCACCAACCAGCACAACGCCTGCCGCACCACGGCCTCGGCCGCGTCGTTGCTGCGCCTGGCCAGCAGTGGTTGCAGCGTGCTCACCGTACGTGCGGCCGACCGCTTCGGGAGCCACGGCCTGATCGGGCTCGTCGTCCTGGACGGCTGCCCGCGCGCCTGGGAGGAGCCAGAGGCCCAGACCCCCTCGGGCGCTGACAAAAATCGCGACGGGTAGGTTTTTCGCCACTTTAGGCCTCGGGGCCCGGGCCCTCACTGGGCCTCGGGGCCGTCAGATCACGATTCAGGATGAGAAACCGGTGCTGGGGATGCAAGGGCGCCCTCGAGGGCGCGAAGTTATTCGCGCTTCGCGCTTCGCGAGTCGGCTCCGTTCCTCCTCATCCTCCTCTTTTCCCCTGGGAGGCGGCGCGAGAGCGCGAAGTTATTCGCACTTCGCGCTTCGCGCAGCGCGAAGCGCGAAGTTGGGAGCCCTTGGGGATGGGGTCCAGACCTTTGAGGGTCGATGTCGTGCACACATTATGACGTCGGGGCTCTGGGGAGGGCGCGCAGGCCGCAGAGGGCAGCGGGGAGGAGGGCGCCCAGGCGCACCCCGCCGTGCAGGCAGCTCCGCCCGAGCTCGTGCAGCACGTGAGCGGCTGGATGCTCTCGTGCCGCTCCTTGCACTTGTCGGGGGAGCGTAAGACCCGGGTTTGCCGGGACTCGGGTTCGCCATCGTTTTTTGACGACCGCGACTCGGATTTTGACGAGGAGGAGTTTTGTGGGATGTCTGCAGCGGGAGGCCTCGTCAAAATGCAGGCTCGGCCTCGTCATTTTTTTGACGACCTCGTCGGGGATTTCCGAGTCCCCCGTACCCGGGTCTTACGTCTCCCCGAACTTGGGCATCGAGTTCACGATGCTGCGGCACGTCGCCGAGGCCGCGCGCGCCGCGGGCGCCTCCAAGCTCGCAGTGCACTGGGTGCGCGCTGAGCGCAACGAGCCCGCCGCGGCATTCCTCTTCTCGGCGCCGGGTGCACGCTTTGTCCCGGCGGATCCGGGCCGCCTGGGCTTGAGGCTCGGCGACCGCCACGCTGGTTCCAGCAGCGAGCCGGCGCGGGCGCCGCCTCACGAGCTGGGAGCTGGCGCTCCGCGGCGCAGCGACGCGGAGCAGGCGGCTGCACGGGAGGCCGCCAGGGCTGCCGCCGCGGCCGCAGCCTCTGCAGCTGCTGGGCAGGAGGGCGCGGCTGCCGCTGCCGCTGCCGCCGCTGCGGCCCTGGAGGCCTCGGTGAACGCGCTGTGCGACGCGGGGGCCGAGGTGGACATCGAGTCGCTGCCCCCGCAGACGAGCCTCGCTGCCCTGCCGGCGCCAGAGCGCAGGCGCCTGGCCAGCTGGGCCTGCGGGCGCGTCTCGCGTGCCCGGCGGGGCGCGCTGTGCGCGGCAGCGGCGCGGGCCGCGGGAGTCGCGGTGCTGCGCGGGTGGGTGGGCCGCGATGTGTGCCGCCACCACGCCACTGGCCGCGGCTGCAGCGTGGCCCGCTGCCCTTTCGTGCACCCGGCAGGCGCGCCACAGGACTCTATGTTCACTACAGGCCTCTCCTAGAGGGGGTCCGAGCAGATGGGGTCGGAGGAGCGCGCCGCAGCACCTGTGCATCGGCGAAACGGCTCGATGTGGAGCCTGATGTTCTCCACGCCGACGTCGCCGATGCATAGCAGGCGTCGCCGATGCCACTGCTGATGCATCGCTGATGCATCGACGATGCGTCGCGATCGTCCGACCCCATGAATTCCGACCCCATCTGGGAGACCTCTAAGGACGCACCGTCTCCGTCCGCGCTGGCGCCGACGCGGGAGGACGTGGACAGGGACGCGGAGCTCCAGGCGGAGCGAACCTTCGGCGACGTGGCGCGGTACGAGCGCTCCGTGCGAGACCGCCCGGCCTCGGGCTTTGTCGTCATCGACGTCGACGTGGCCTCGGTGCTGCAGGTCCGGTTTGGCGACTGCGCGGGCGCCGCGGAGGCTGCCTCCTATGCAGCGGCCGCCGATACCTCTTCGTCGAGGAAGAAAAGCTGCGTCGACATGAACTTCCGGAGCCCCGCGCGGATTTTTTGGGATCGGCGCTGAGCCCCCCTGGCGCCGCCTCTGGCGTTTTCGTATATTTACGTAGCACCCCGCAGTTGCGAATAAGAGTGAGGGGGCGGCGGGGTCGTCAGCAGTCTGCGAGGCTCTGAAGTAACCCGCGGCAGGCGCAGTTTTTACACTTCATAACAGCATTATTGCCGCAGGTGTAGAATTTGTCGTTCAAGCACTGTGCGTGGGTCGCGGGTGGGTCGCGGGTGAGTCGCGGGTGGGTCGCGGGTGGGTCGCCGGGGGAGTCGCCGGGTTGGTCGCGGGGTGGTTCGTGGGGCGGGTCGTGGGCGAGGACGACGGCAACATCGCAGCAGTCACGCAACAACAACAGCAACAGCAGCAGCAATACTAGCAACAGCAACAACAGCAACAACAGCAACAACAATAATGTTAAGGCTCTTCGCTCTTATCTGCGCGCGCGCCATTCAACACGTATATCCCAAACCCTCGATACCCGCCCTCTTCGTCTTCGATCGTGCCCCCTTGGGGGTACATCTTTACCTGCAACGTGTATTTCATGCCGCACCTACGGCAGGGGAAGAGAGGACGGATGGAAGAAAGGGACAATGGGGGGGAGGAGGATGGAGCACGAGAGAGCGAGAGAGAGAGTGTGGCAGGAGGGGGTGCAGGAGCAGACAACACGTGGCAGAACCAGACTGGCAGATCGGGCGGGTAGACCCGAACAGGCGTGTCGGGAAGGCGAGCCCAGGCGACCAGGTCGAGCAGGCGGGTTGCTGAAGCACGAGTCTTGCATGAATCGCGAGTCTCGAGCGATAGCGCGATTCCCAAGTAAGTCGTGAGATAGGCCAAAGCGAGAGCGTGATTCCTGAGTGTCGAGGGCGCGGCGTCTAAATAAATTGCGAGGAAATTCCACGCGAGAGCGCGAATTCTGCATCATTTGTGGGGACGTCCCGCGCGAGAGCGCGATTTGGGAATACACTGTGAGGAAGCATCAGGCGGGAACTTTTTTTGTGTTGTTGTTGATGTTGTTGCTGCTGCTGTTGCTGTTGATGTCGTTGTTGTTGCTGCTGTTGTTGTCATCGTTGTTGTTGTTGTCGTTGTTGCACCTCGGGGACCAGGGGCCCAATTCTCAGACCCAAGACTTCCCCTGATAAAAAAACAGAGTGCGAGCCCCGGGAAGGGCATTTCAATTGAAAGATACAATGCGCCCCAGAGGGCGGGGGATGAATGTTAATCCTTCTGCAGTAGTTGTACTTCAACAATAACAACAATGCCACTAACAAAAACAACATCAGCTGCAGCAGCAGCAACAACATCAACAACAACAGCAATCACAGCAACATCAGCAACAACAACTATTTTAAGACTGGTCGCTCCCATCTGCCCACGTGCCAATCATATATACATATATATATACACATCTATGCAAATACATATGTGTAATCCAAACCTTCGGTGCCCGCCCTCGTCGTATTCGATCGTACCCCCTTCGGAGGTATATCTTCCTTACCTGCCACGTGCATTTAGTGCAGCCCCTAAAACAAGGAAATATAAGATGGGTGGAAGTGGGAGGGAGAATAATGGAGCACGAGAGAAAGTAGCAGGAGAGGGGGCAAGGAGCAGAAAACAAGTGGTATAACAAGACTGGCAGGTCGGGTGGGCAGACCCATAGCGGGCAGGTCGGGAAGGTGGGCCCAGGCGACCAGGTCGAGCAGGCGGGTTGCTGAAGCGTGGGTCCTGCATGAATCCCAAGGAAGTCTCGAGCGATATCGGCGATTCCCAAGTAAGTCGTGAGATAGGCCAAAGCGAGAGCGTGATTTCTGAGCGCCGAGGGCGCATCGTCTGACAAAAATTGCGAGGAAGTCCCACGCGAGAGCGTGGTTCGTATACAATTTGTGAGGACGTCCCGCGCGAGACCGCGATTTGAGAATACACTGTGAGGAAGTATCAGGCGGGAACCGCTGTTGTTGTAAACCGGGGGCCGACAACACAGTTTGAGCCTAGTGACTTGCCCTGATAAAAAAACAGGGTGCGAGCCCCGGGGGAAGCACTTCAATTGAAAACTCCGATGGTCAGCAGTGGGGGGATCAACAATATTTTTCTTCAGTCGTGAGAGTTCAACGCAACAGCAACAATCCGCACCACAATCCGCACCGCGGAACCTCACTTCAGCCACGCTCCCGGGGAGAACGAATGACCGTTTGCCCCCCTCACTCTGATGTTCTATGTGTTTTTTGTATCTTGCACCCCCGGAGCTCCGAACGCTTATGTTCATGTTTTTCTTCCTCCATATCTGGTAACCCTGTCTCCGACTCGACTGCCCAGCAGCGAGGCCGCAGGGGCTACGCCAAGGACGGCAGTTTCTGCCTACATCCAGATACCTACTTCGAGCTCGCGACCGCGCTCTCGCTTCACCCTGGGCAGCTGCATGCATGGGTGGCGACTGAGTGCCAGCGCAGCTTGGTGCCACGCCCTTATGCCGAGGCGTGGGAGCTGGCGATTATGCGTGAGGCCGAATGGAGTCGCCTCGCGGAGGCCCCTGACGTGGAGGGTGGCGATGTGGCGGACGTGCCCGCCGCAGATCTGGCCAGAGTCCGGCGGCACATACGCCACGCGCAGCACTTGATAATGCAGCAGAGCAACCCCGACTCGTACTACGCCGGCATAGATCACATCTATTCTTAATCTCCGCCCACTTGACAGGCCGAGCTGGCCATTCAAGCTGGGGGGCGGGGTGCTCCATCGTCGTCTTCGACCGCCGCTGCAGGTAGTGCTTCTTCGTCGCGGAGGCTCCGAGCGAGGGCTCGGCGCGGCCGGAGGCGGCGCAGAACATGTGGACGCCGCGGGCTTTGGCGGCGCTCTGGCGGCGCGATGGCGCGGGCGCTGACCGCTGGCGCGGCAGATGCCAAGGAGATGGGGCCGCAGTGGGAGTTGGGCGATTGGGCGCTCGGTAGCGGGGTGGCACTGCAGTCGGACCGAGGTACAAGGTCGAGGTCGGTTCGGGAAGGGCACCCCAGTGTTGTTCGTGCTTGTTGGACGTGTCTGTGCTTTGGCCGACGGAGGGTCTCACGTCTCACGTTCTCGAAGGATGCTCTTCTGGCCTGGGTCCGGCTGTAAATGTCATGGGAGGAAACATGATCGACCCACGAATCCAGAGGAGTACAGACACGTGAGGCATGGCAACGTTTTCAAGACACTTGATTGGGCGACGGGCAATTGCAATGTTGAGAGTATCGATCTTGATGTACCGTGCCAAGGGCTGTGCTGTGTTGCGCCGTGCTGAATTGCGATGTGCCATGCCGCGATTGTGTTCTATAGCGTTGTGGATCGAGTCCTCCTTTGCATCCGAGTCCTGACCGAATTGATCTGGATCTTAAGCTCGACCTGCTTGAGCACATAGTAGCTGCCCCATAGCTGATTGACAGGAGGACATGCCAGGGGGACGCGCCGCGGAACGTCCCAAGGCGCACACCAGCGGACGTGCCAGGGGGCGTGCCACGGGGACGCACCGCTGGACGTGCCAAGGGGACGCGCTACGGAACGAGCTAATGGACGTCCCAGGGGACGTGCCAGGGGACGCCCCGCGGGACGTACCAGAGGGACTCGCCACGGAACGTGCCAGGGAACGTGCCAGGTTGAAATGTTGAGTGTTTCGATCTTCATGTACCGTGCCAAGGGCTGTGCTGGGCTGCGCCGTGCTGAATTGCAATGTGCCATACCGCGATTGTGCTCTATAGCGTTGTGGATCGAGTCCTCCTTTGTATCTGAGTCCTGACCGAAATGATCTGGATTTCAAGCTCGAGCTGCCTGAGCACATAGTAGCTGCCCCAGAGCTAATTGACAGGGGGAACATGCCAGGGGGACGCGCCGCGGGACGTGCCAAGGGGAAGCGCTACGGACCGTGCCAATGGACGTGCCACGGGACGTGCCAGGGGACGCGCCGCGCGACGTGCCAGGGGGACTCGCCACGGGACGCGCCGCGGAACGTGCCAAGGAACGTGCCGGGTTGCAATGTTGAGTGTATCGATCTCGATGTACCGTGCCAAAGGGACGCGCTGCGGAACGTGCCACGGGACGCGCTGGGGAAGGCGCCGCGCGACGTGCCAGGGGCACTCGCCATGGGACGCGCACAGAACGTGCCAGGTTGCAAGGCTGAGTGTATCGATCTTGACGTACCGTGCCAAGGGTTGTGCTGTGCTGCGCCGTGTTGACTTGTGATGTGCAAAGCCGCGATTGTGATCTATAGCGTTGTGGACCGAGTCCTCCTTTGCATCCGAGTCCTGACCGAACTGATCAGGATCTTCAAATCGAGCTGCCTGAGCACATAGTAGCTGCCCCAGAGCTACTTGATAGGGGGACACGCCGGGGGGACGCGCCGCAGAACGTCACAAGGCACGCGCCAGGGGACGTGCCAGGGGACGTGCCACGGGGACGCACCGCGAGACGTGCCAAGGGGACACGCTACGGAACCTCCCAATGGACGTGCCAGGGGACGTGCCAGGGAACGCGCCGCGCGACGTGCCAGAGGAACTCGTCACGGGACGCGCTACGGACAAGCATTTCACCTCCGAAATTGTCTGAGTTAAGTGAGATACGCGTGCACTCAACGGAGGAGGAGGAGGAGAGGAGGGGACGAGAGAGGGACCAGGACAGGGCGATGGTATTTTCATGGCAGCGTGGCGACGCGCATCTCCGCCGAGCGTGGGCCCTGGTGGCCCCACGCTCAACGCGAGCGCGTGGGCCCTGACGGCCCGCGCGCTCGCGCTCTGGCACGCCTGCGGCCGCTCGGCCGACGCAGGCGTCTGGGAGCAAAGCGGGGTGGGTGGGCACCCGCGCGTCGGCCAGAGCCGAACGCTACGGACCCAAAATGGCTACCTGAGCCCACACCCCCTCCCACTTAACCTGCAGTCTACAACCAATCAGACTATACAAGTTAAGTGAGATACGCGTGCACTCAACGGAGGGAGAGGAGGAGAGGAGGGGACGAGAGAGGGACCAGGACAGGGCGATGGTATTTTCATGGCAGCGTGGCGACGCGCATCTCCGCCGAGCGTGGGCCCTGGTGGCCCCACGCTCAACGCGAGCGCGTGGGCCCTTACGGCCCGCGCGCTCGCGCTCTGGCACGCCTGCGGCCGCTCGGCCATGAGAAAAGAAAGACGCAGCCGCGCGCGCGGGGGCGCCCCGCCCGAGTGCGAGGGCGGGATCAGAGGCTGCAAGAGCCTCGCGCGCGCGGCCACTTGCCTGCAACCTTGAGGCCTTCCGCGCCCGCGCACCCAGAGCGCGGGCGCGGCGCGTGCGCGATGCGCGCAAAAGAACCGAAAAGGGTGGCGGCGCACGAGGCGCCGGGCGCAGAGCGCAAGTGTGGCCCCGACCGCACGGCGCGCAAGACGCGCAGCACGGCCGGGTCCAGGAAGCACGCGACGTGCGCGCAACGTTAAACTCCTCCAAGAGGGAGGATCGCAGGCGCCACCTGCGTACCGTAGGCTAAAAGAAAGAAGATCGCAGGCGCCACCTGCGTACCGTAGGCTAAAAGAAACAAGATCGCAGGCGCCACCTGCGTACCGTAGGCTCAAGGATCGCAGGCGCCACCTGCGCACGGTAGGCTGAGAGGAGGGCCGACTCACTCACAGGCCGCCGCCTTCAGCCCGCGCCCGCGATGCCGCGGGCGCTGGCGTCGGGGTACGGGGGGGAGCTCCACGCCTAGATGGAGGGCGTGTTCCCCCGGCGGTCGCGGCTCTCGTCTCCGCTGCGGTCTCCGCCGCGCTCACTGGGGTCCCGGGGGCTGCCGCCATCGCCGCCCCTCGACGCGCGACCGTCCGCGCTGGGCCAGTCACGCTCACTCCGGCCGCGGCTGCCCTGGTCGCCCTTGGAGTGGCCGCCCTTGCCGCTCTTGTCGCCCTTGCCGCCGCTCTTGGAGCCCTTGGCGGCCTTGCCGGAGTACTTGCCCTTGACCTTGCCGCCCTTGCCGCCCTTGTCGCCCGCGCCCTTGCCACGCCAGGCTGGGATCCCACCCCCGCCCGCGGCAGCCTCCGCGGCGGCAGCACGCCGCCGCTTTTTCTCCTGCTCGTACCAGCCGCCGCGAGGAGCGCGAAGCTGCCCAGCGTGCTTCCCGGTCTTACGCCGCGTGCGGCCGGGCGGGGTGTCGCCGCGCCGCGCCCACGCTGGGTCCCGCGCCAGACTGTGGCTGGGCGACCTCTCGCGCTTGGGCCGGTGGCGGCTGGGCGACCTCTCACGCTTGGGCCAGCTGAGGTCGCCCGGCGGGCGGTCCCCCTCAGCCCCCGCACCCGTGGCACCCGTGCTGGGGCGCTCGCCATGGCCGACACTGGGGCCCGGCGCCTCCCGCACGGTGTGGCCGCTCCGCCGGGCCTTCTCCACCACCGTCTTGGGTTTGCCGAAGGCGACGCGGCAAGCCTCGCAGTAGCTCACGTCGCACCCCTTACAGTGCCACCGCAGGGCTCCGCTGTTAGCTCCGCCCGCGGGGCACATCTCGCAACCCCAACCGTCTCCCGGGTCAAAGGAGCTCCAGCGCATCTTGAGTGCGCATGTCGGGCAGGCAGGCGGCTGGATGGTCGGGCCATCCTCCCCGTCGCTGCCTGGGTCAGGGCCGCGAGGCCGGCTCGCCCACTCCGTGACCACCGTGCACGGGTCCGTCTTGTAGAACCGATAGTTCGACCTCATTAACTCCCGCGCGCGCTTTGCGTCAGCGCGGCGCTGGAACTCCACCAGCACGCACGGCTCCCGCTTGTGGCGGTGGTCGTACAGGAAGGCGATGTGTTTGACGACCCCGAAGGGCACGACCACCTGCCTGACCACCTCGGCATCGACGTGGTGCGGTACCCGCTCGATGCGGATGATGGACTCGCCCTCGTCGTGCTGGTCACTGGGCTGCTGCTGGGCGCCCTGGCGCTGCTCCTCCTTGCGCCTACGGCGGCTCCTCGAGCGCGGCTGGCGCTGGGGCGGACCGTCCCCCGCGCCTGGCGCCTCCTCCACCTCGGTCTTCACCTCGAAGGACCGCGGCGGCGCCCCCCCGCTCTTGGGCTTCAGGACGGCCTCACGCTTCACGATGTCGGCCTTCGGGGGGGCGCCGCCCGTCTTGGGTTTCAAGACGGCCTCCTCCTCCTGTCCCCTGCGCCCGCGATCGCGAGGCGCATCGCGCTCGCGATCGCGGCGCCTCGCGCGCGAGGGCGAGCGCAAGGGCGCAGGGCGCCTCTCGCGCTTGCGGACCTCTTCGGCGAGGCGCTCCTGGCCCGGCGACCGCGCGGGCCGCGGGCGCGCCTTTGGAGCGCCTTTGCTCTGGCGCCGCGCGGCAGCCTGGATGGCCGCACGCGCCAGCGCCGCGGTGACCGCGTCCTCTCCCGCCTCGAGGACCGGGGCTGGGGTCGACTTCCCCTCGCCCCTGCTCGAGGCGTCGACGTCGGTGAGCTCCACGACCGCCTCCGCGTCCACTGTGCGCATCATGTCGAGCAGCCCCTTGTTGTGCTTGCAGAGCTCGCGGAGCTCCGGCATGGGCTGCCCCTGGAACTGGGCCAAGGCGAGCGCCAGCTTGGCCGCCTGGCGCTGGACCTTGATATTCGGCCCCGCGCCCACCCCCCACGCACCCCGCTTGCCGTCGACGATCACCAGCTGGCCGTGGTCCTCGCTCGCCCCCGCGGCCAAGCAAGCCGCCGCGATGCACGGGGCTGCTT